GCTACCACAGCTTTAGGGAATGCTGGAGTCGGTCTTCTCTGCTCTTTTCCTGAGAGCTCCTGAGCACTGTGCGTCATCCCAGAGGCTTTTTTGTCCAGGCATTTCCATAAGCCTTTTGCTCAGTGGTTGCTGCTTCTCAGGCTTTCAGCTCTTTGTGAATAATTTGGAAGAAATTCTCTGGGGCTGAGCTCGATGCACTTCAGTTTCCCTGATGCTCTGAAGGGGACGAGGACCTTAGGGTCTGGCCTGTGGGGAAGCGATCAGGTGCTTCGTTAGCGTCCAAGTGAGAGGCTCCGGGGAAAGACTTCCCAGCAGATGATCGGAGCACCCTATTGCAGGGGCACTCAACAGGTGGATGAAGGGGTGGGCAGGGGTCCCAGCACCACGTTCCCCCTGCGGGGCTGAGCGAGCCCTGGTGCTGCGGCTGCTTTGTGGCTTGGGGGACTGCAGGCACCACCCTGCGCCGCGCCAATGTCTGCGCCATGTACTTTGACCTAGGTCTGGTCTGAGCAAATCCGAGCTGGACGCCAGCCTGCATGCTGTTTTTTCCAACTATTTCCCCAGATCATTTATTAGGAGGTTCCAAAAATGTCTGCGGTTCTCCTCTCCGTGTCTTCAAAACCTGTCCTTGGGTGGCTGGCAAGCCAGCTGGACTACCAATTCTGAGCGAACATAATGAATTCTATTTATACATTTTTGGCCTCTTCGTCTTCTGAACTCAAAGTTGAAAAACTCGTTCATGGTTGTTTTGAGGATTTCTGAATATGAATCACAAGGAAATTGCATAACATTGCAGCATTTCCTTCTATTGCTCATGGCTTTACAAACACTGCGCTCCTCCAGGGAGACCAAGGAAATCTGGCAGGACTGGCCAATTTTGACAGTCAGTTTTAGTCTAAATACAAAGTCTAGGTTGAAGAGTAGGTCTCAGTACCAGTAAAAGGAGTGCAAGGAGGCATCTTCCAGGCCAGGACATGGGCTAGGCAGCTGGAATGATGGTTTCCTTCTCACGTGGAGGTCCCTCTGTCTGTGAGTACAGAGCAGGACAGCTGACGTTCCTGTTGGTTAGGGATTTCTATAAATTTCATCTACCTCTTGCCTCTGTGCCTCTGAGAAGCTAGACAGTTCTTTCATCTGGTTTTCGGCCATTTAGGCAGAATCTTGCTCCAATGTTTGAACCTGACAGATTTGCCAGCTGTGCCCACGCACTGTGCAGCCTCCGAGTGTTACGGCTTTGGTTGGGGCAGTTTGGATCTTAAGTGGAAACCTGTTTTGTGTCTGGGATGGAGTTGTGTTATAGAAACGATGTGTGCAAACATGCAATTGCCATATGAAAGCATAGTTAATTTATCACGGAGGATAATAGACATCATGGCCAAACCAGTGTGAAATCTGAAATGAGGAAATGAACATAAAATTACTCAACATCTCCTGTTCTTACTTCCCCTTCCAAACCCCATTTACTTCTTTTTTTCCCTTTCTTTGCCCACAATGTAGTTTCACCCTAAACAACCTACAGGCAGGCAGTTGTTAGCTGTTGGCTCTTTGCATGCTCACATGTGGTTGTAAAATCTGGAGAATTTGGTTCATAGAACCTAAAAGCCTCCGCTTTAGTTACGGATCAGTCTCAGAATTTTTCAAAATTACATCGGAAAGGTGGCGTAAGGAGGCCTTGTTTAAGCCTCCAAAGAGCCACGACTGCTGAAGTTAAGCAAGCAGTAGCTGCCACTAAGAAAGATAGAACCCAATTTTCTTCGGGATGTTTGACCATCTTCAGTATGAATTCAGAAGAGTGAATTCAAGGCTTCCAGCAAATTCTGTATTAGGTTAATAAATATTTTTCTATTAACATCACCTCTGAAACTTCGTGGTAAAGATAGTTTGGCTCTGAAGATATGATCAAATGGGAATAATTAGCGAGAGAATGACTTTTAAAGCGAGCAGAGCGCCGCAGGGTAGGGATTTGTCTCCAAGTTAGTCACTAGCCCCAGTTGGGTGAGTTTTATAACCGAATATTCCCACACATGATACGCAGCGTGTCGGCCCTTCACCTCCGAGCAAATGCTTTTTGGTATAGCAAAAGGTTTTTTTATAAAATATAATGTTTGTTTTGGAAAAGGAAAGGACGTTACAGAGCTGGGGCTTGGTTACAGCTTTGATGTTGTAGGGTGGTGTCAGGGCATTCGCACACTGGCAGTGGCAAAAGGGTTTGTCCTTATGGACCTAAAACCCTCAATGGGCAGTAACGGGTTTGTCCTTAGCGAGATGGGTGGAGGACGGCGCTACCTCCTTGCTTTATGGCTGCACGGCTGACCTCTGCGTGAAATTTCCTTTATGCCGTCTGCACACTTGGCAGTTAATGGCACAAGCGTATTGCGTTTCCGTGTCTGTCCTCTCTCATTTTTAAAGAGCGGTCTCTGATGATTAACAACACCTCTATGGTTTCATTTAACCAACTTGCAAGAATGTCTCTGCAGGCAGACACATCTCCTGTGGCTGATGCGCTGTGTGCCCTAACTCGGAGCTGCGTGGCCGTGCTTGAGGCCTGGGCAGCAGAGCAAGCTGGCAGGAGAAGGACAGTGGACGGCAAAGCCCTGCTGGGAAGCGTGTCAGTTGTCAGAGCCAGGGGGCTGACACCCATGTGGACCCTGAAAAATGGAAAAAAATTCATGTCCCAAGCACTGGAGCTGGTGCACGCTCAGTAAGGGCAGGTGGCAAGGCAGAGCAGGGTGCTGAGAGCAGGGGCTTTGGGGACAGTGACATGGTGCAGCTGGCAGACGAAGCTTTGGGGTCCAAAGCTGCAGGGCTCCGAGTGCCAGTGGGGTCCCCAGGGAGGGCCGGGTGCTCTGCGAGCCTCTGGTGAGCTGGAATTAGCTGAGCTCTGCCTGCTCCTTCAGCAGGTCCTCGGGGGTGGAAGCGGAGCTGGGGGGAGGCGTTATTAGAGCAAGCTGACTTCGTGGCCAGGGCTGCGAGGCTGCGCTGCTGGCAGGGGAGCCTGCTGTGTGTTTCCTTCCCTCTTTTCACTTATTTTTATTTTCTTGATACAAACGCAGTTCCTGGAGGAAAGCTCCCTTGCTGACTGGCTGTGTTTGCTGCTGAATCATCCCCCAGGTCTCCAGATGTGGGGCGATGCACTCTCCTCCTGCAAACAAAATCTCCACTTCATCCTCCTCTGTGTAGCTGGGCCCCCTGGGAGTGGGAGAGGGAAGATGCTCCTTGAGAAACGTCTCAGGAGGGGGAGATCAAGCAGAGTGGGGTCGGTCTATGACTGTACCCGGGTTTTGAGCCGATCTGTAGGATTTGTGGCTGCAGGGGCGCTCCCTGGGTCATGGACCCTGCGAGTGCCTGCCGCCCCCCGGCTGGTGCATGGCACCGAGGGGTAAAAATAAACCTGTGGGAGATATCTGAACAGAAAGATGTCTGTAATGCTGACGGAGTTTCCCCATTCGGCTCGCCGTGCTGACTGGCACGTGCAGCTGGAGCAGGAGCTGCTCCCACCCGCCCCAGCACCGCAGCGGTGGGGCTGCAGCCTCAGTGGGGCCGAGAGGCCGGGGAGCGCAAGAACCCCGCGGGGTTTTGTTTAACTCCGAGGAGGACATCTGGTTGAGTGGCTTCACAGTAGGAGTGTGGCACACTGCCTTTTGGGGGCTGCTTTGGGGCTGAGGGGCTGTTAGGTTGGAGCTGCTGCTGGGGCACCCGCAGTGATCCGAGCGGTGCCGCGCTCAGCGCCTGTCCAGGCACCACCGGCACCGTTCCCGAGGGCAGGATCCTCTCCCCGTCCCGGCCCCTGCTTCTGCCGGGGCTGTGGGGCACATCCTGGCCAGGACAGCCCCGCTGGGAGCTCCCGGGGCAGCTCGTGCATCCCCTGCCCTTGGCATTTGTTCGTGCCCGGGTGCGAAGGGCCAGGAGCTGCCCGATGACAGGGGAGGGCAGTGTGTGGTGGCTGCTGCTGCTGTGTTGCTGTCAACATCACCCGTGGAAACTTTCCTTCCCCGCTTGCTATTTCTGGCCGCAGCATGTGATTAAATCAGTTCCCTGAGCTTCGGTCCCTGTGGAAGGGGGCTCCCAGCTTTGTTCCCTGGGAGAGGAAGGGTGTGCACGCCCGTGGCTTTGTTTAACGGCCCACACAGGCTTTTTTTCCTGTTCTGATGGATGCTGCCACGCTCAGCTCCAGCTTGTGATGCTGACCGAGTGCCGTGTGTGTTTGTTTCAGCTCCAGGTTGATGAAGGATTTATTTTTATTTTATTTGTTTTACCATCTTCATCTACTGAGCTAGAGAAATGCAACCTGTTTGGATCCGAAGGCTGATCTCCTTACAGCTTTTCATTATGCTAGGTTTTAAAATTGTGCTTAAACTGATTAAAACCTTCTGCTGTCATTTCCCCCTTTTTCTTGTAACCCACTGAAGCTCTGCTCTAACCTGAAGTAGCCAAGCTGTAAGAGGGGGCAGGGCAGGAGGAAGAGCACCGGTATCTGGAGGCAGGAGAGGCTTGGGCTGGAGTCACAGCATTGCCCGAGGGGGGCTCATCCTAAAGCATTTCACGTCCTCCCTGAACTCATGTTTCTTATCCTCTTACCCTTTGCCTCATTTATTCACTGTAAGTGCATGTGAGTGGGGAGGGCTGCTCCTGGCCTGAGCAGCGCCTGCCAGATGTTGCTGCAGTGCTCCCGACACGAAGGGAAGGAGCTGCCTGCTTTGCTCCAAGGTTTATATCCTTTACGTGTTGCAAGGAAGTGAGGAATGCCCATCTCTGTTTTCTTTTAAAGCCCGTTTAGTTTCCGTTCCCACCTATTCTGTCCCATTTGCGTTCTCTCTTTTTGAGAATTTGTTTTAGCCGGGGCATCCTGCTGGTGACGCCTGTGCTGGCCCTGGGACCTGGCTGGTGGGGCCGGGGCAGCTGCTCCCAAAGCTGCCACCAGCGGGGGCCAGGAGGTGGGTCAGCGGTGCCTTCCCAGCTGCAGCCAGGTCTTCATAAGGCTTTCTTCTTCTGTTTTCCAGGTCTACAACTCGAACAAGGACAACCAAAGCGAAGGCAGTAAGTACCCGTTGTAAGCAGGGCCCCCAGGAAGGGTCTGTGCCGTGCAGCTTGCAGCCGCGGCGGGGAGGCTGAGCTGCTGGTGGTGACACCGGGATGGGGTGCAGGGTGATGGGGCTGGGCTTGGGGACTGCAGGGTGGCCCCGGGACAGAGCCACCCAGCTGGGGACGGGCACACAGGGGTCAGGGAAATGGGGCTGGGAGGCTCCCTCGCTCCCCAGGTGCCGGCATCCCTTGGGGCCGGTTCCTTTCATGCCCAAGCAGTGCAGGGGCAGTTGGAGTGACCAACTGGCCGTGCTGGGCCAGAACCTGGAGAACAAACTTGCTTTTTTCAAAGGGGAGCTGGAACATAATGTAAGCACTACAGAGGTCCCACCGAGTCAGCACTGTCACCAACAACCCCTTGAAAAAACAGGCTGTGTTTATCGTCGTTCAGCCAGTCAAAGACTTGGGTTGAGAAGCGTGTTTCTCTCAGAGCAGTGGCCTCGAGTCCCAGCTCTCCTGCCCTTGGTTCCAAACCCGTAGCTGGGCCGTGCCCCCGACCTGCCGTGCCTGCGGTGCTCGGAGCCGATCCTTCCCATGTCCCCAAGCCATCGGTCACGCAGGAGCCCGGCCCGCGCTGATGGCCAGTAAATAGCCCATTTTGTGCTGCCTCAGACAGGGCATTTTCATCTTGAGTAGAAGCATTTTTCTCACAATAATAGGTATAATTTGCAGGTAATTTTCCTTGTGCCCATTTCCAGCCCGTGCATGAAGCCGTCCCTTCCTGGTGTCTGCTCCCTGCGATGTGCTTTCCCCCCTCCACGCTGGTCCCCACCTTGTCCTCGTGGTGGAGGGGACCCAGGTGCTCCTCAGCCTGGGAGGGCGGCTCAGCCCCTGCCCTGCCCGAACACGAAGCCTGCCTGGAACAGCTCAGAGTGTTCTCCATTTTACAGGGGACCAAAATAAGTTTTTTTAGGGACAGAGAACGGGACTTACTCAGCTCTGTCCTGGTCTGGCCATTAATTGCCACCGCTCCGCGTGTTCCCTGTGCCAGGACAGCGTGTGCCGCTTTGGCTCGGCAGCTTTTAAAACAACCATTTTCTAAACTGCTTTGAGGGGCGATGCAAAAGCAGGGAAAACATTTGGGTTGGGGGCGGGGAGGAAGGATCGCTGAAGCAATTACTGCTTCTGAAAGAAGTGCTTGTCAAACTGTGACCTTTCCATCTCGGTGCTGTCAGCCAGCAATCCTCGTGGGGCTGCTGACTGGGGCTGGAGTCATCCTGCAGGGTACTGGCGGCTCTTGGATAACTGGGAACAGCTCGAGTTGGATGCGTGCGTGGCTTTCCCAGGGTCATTGTGTTGTCTAATCCCGGTTTTCAGCTGCCAGGCTTGCAGCAGATCCCGTGTAGGGGCTCCTAAATGCCTGCTTAGGGTGTCCTTCGGCACAGGGCTGCCTGCTGCGGGCACGGAGGTTGTTCTCCTGGGTCGGTCTGGGACGGGTACGTGTGTTGGAGGGGCATTGGCACCCCGCGGGGTGCTGAGCTGGTGGCACTGCCATCAGCAGGAGGGCCCCGTGCCCAGCCGGGTGGCCCTGCGGGGTGTCCTTCGGCTGCTGGTGTTTCAGTGTCTTTTCCATGTCGATTTTCATCTTAAAAATAAGAGAAATCCCAATCTTGTGCTGGGGAGACCCTACCCACCAGGGTGTGCTGGGACCCCAAAATGAAGGCTGCTTACGTAGCCGTGCTCCTACACGGTCTGGTGGCAATTATTTTCACATACGGCTCTCGCTGGGCTGCTGCTGGTATGTTCAGACATCTGACTCTGCTTTAGCACTCATTAAAACCATGTCTGCAGCGAGCTGCTTGCCTCACGAGCTACACTTCAGATTGATTCGGGGGCTGGCTTCGTGCCACGGAGCCCTTGATACAGGAGCTTCCTATAAGGACTTGAAATGAGTGTAATGATTGAATGGAGTCCGGATGCAATTCCTGACCCTGAAAACCTATATAACTCTGCTTCCTGCTCCTGCTTATGGCAGGCTGAAAGACATTCAGAGCACTATCGCGAGGTCTGCTTTTTGGCCACTGTCTAATTTTACAGAGCTTTTGGATTTTACATCCTGCTGTGTGGCCAGATGGCCATCAGCCTGCCGGGTGATTTATCTTAATCTTCTTTGGGAGCTGGGAGGAAGCAGTGCAGAGTGCTGGGGGGAGCAGGTATCAGTGAACCGCTAGAGCTGGATGAATTTAGATGCACCGGTTCGCAAACCAGGAGGGCTTGCTCTGCTCTGCGGAAACAAATCCTCTAGGCTGTTTGTGCATATTGCATGGCGAAGCACCAAAGAACTCCTTTCCCTTCTGCTCCCCACCGTTTTCCCCTCGTTTCATACCCACTTGGTTGCCCATCTAGCTCAGGACCCCATCAAAAGCCCTGGTGGCACCCTGCGGCTTGGCAGCTCTCTGCTGGCTTGAGACCTGAGCTAAGGCTGAAAACTTTCCTCTCCGGTCTTCACTTCTTATTTTCTCTCTCTCTCCGTGGCTCTGAACACCACAGTAGTCTTTGAAAGAATTCATGTCATCGTCCTCATCACGGCACTCTGTTATATGGCACGGACGTGTGCTGGGGTGTGCAGAAGAGCCCGTGCTGCCCTTGCAGTGCCGTGACCGGCGCGTACACATCTGGAGCCAGCGAGGTTGCCTGAGGCTAAGCAGAGCTGACTGTCTTCTTGCCCCCTTCCCGATGCTCTGATATGCCATATCAGCGTAAAGTAGAAGAATTAATGGATTAAATAGAAATAATCTTGTAGGCAAAAATAGAACGGGATGAGAGCAGCTCAGTAGCACTGGAAATGTGATGCCACGCGGAGGTCAGGTCAGTGCGTGTGCGTGCAGCTGTAGCACAGAGCGCAGCACCTTGCTGCTGTAGGAGGTTTCTGCTGGGCTGCAGGGTGAACGCCGCCTCGCAGCTGGGTGCTGCAGTGCTGGTCCTGTGCGAGCAGCCCGTGGTGTGCATCGTGGGTTGGAAGCTGGGTTTGGCATCCGTCCCCTGGGGAACGGGAGCCTGTAGGGACAGAAAAACCGCAGGAGGAAGGGCTGTAGGCTTGGCCCCCACAGCGTGTTTGGGTGCATGAGCAGAGGAAAATACTGCCTCTGCTGAGAAAAGCTGCCGTGAACCCACTGCCTCTAAGGACTGAGAGGCAGCTTTAAATATCTAGGCGGGGAATTAGGGCTGCCTGCCGTGAGGAGTGCAGATTGGCCGTGCTTCCCTGTGGCAGATCTGGGAGTTTGCTCTTTGCTGCTGCCTTCCCTCTGTTGTTCCCCGGCCGCAGCTGATGGCAGGAGGCAGCTCCCCAAGGGTTTAAATCTGGCTGAGCGTGGGCTGGGGGCTCCTGGCCCTGCTGCCCACACCTGCCTGCATCTGCCTGGCTCCGGTGGTGGTGCCGAGTGGCAGCTCGGGGCTGCCCGGCGGTGTGCTGCCGGGGGGAGCGGGGCGAGCGTGGGGATCGGGAGCGCAGCAGATACAAATCTGCCTTTGATCTGTGCTGGTGTGGTACTGAATCATTGGGTAAATGAATGAGATAAAGAGAAGCTGCTTCTGTGAGAGGGGAAATCAAGCTTTTATGATGCTCATTAAAAGTTAAATTTAAGGATGAATAAAGGCACTTTGGATATTTAATCAGATATTATTTCTGGATATAACTACTGCAAATAAATCCCTGACCTTTCCTGATCCAGAGCTCAGCAACGAGTTGAAGAGCTTATTCATCTACTTGGGAGGATTATGCTCGGTCATTTCCATCCGGAGGGGCTGCTCCTGCTTCCCAGGGCTGCTATTACCGAGCACCACTGGGAGGTGCGGGCTGACCTCCTGCTCAGCCCCGGGCTCCGAGAGGGGCACGCGGGGAGGAGACCTGGTGCTTGTAAGGGTCTTGTGCTCAAATCCAAGCGTTCTGGGGACCGAGTGGAAACTGCTGGTCTGCAGGGATGGCTGGCACTTGAAGTGTGTGGTAGAGAGCCTGAAATGGCGAGCTGTGTTGGCTGGACAGCAACGCACAGGGACAGCAAAAGACCAGGGTTAGGGGCAGGACGGAGCCTGCCCTAGCGAGCCCTGCTGAGCTCTGCCTGTACAGTTTCCACCCCACAGTTGCTGGCTCCTCAAACACCCCCACGGCTGTGGATTTCGGTGATCTGGGGTGCTGCAGTGGTGTCTCGCTGTTCGGGAGCCCAGCGGAGCACCCCGGAGCTCCAGGATGTTTGCACGTCCCGCGGCACGGGCAGCCTCCGGCCTGAGCGCTTATGTTGGCTCGGCGCTCCGGTGTGCTTGCCCAGAAAAATACAATAGAGCTGTTTTACTGTCTCAGGTTTTTGTGCCATTCATCAGGCCAGTAACAATACCGGCAGAGAACCCGAAAGCAGTGATTAGGAAGGGGTGGCACCATGCAAGCCAGCGGCAGCCAGCGAACTGGCAGCTCCTTGGGAACCAGCACTGAATCCGTGCTCCAATCGATGATGTGAGCGGGGAGACCGGCAGGAATAAAATCACTGGTGCCCTGCCGTGAGGACACTGCCAGCCCCGGGCTCTCCTCCCGCTGGGCTCCAAGCTGTGCTGTCGCGTCTCTTCCAGCACGACGTCCCCTCGCGTCCAGCTCACGGGGAGTGGGAGCCCCGCTGGGTTCCCCAACCCTGTGCAAGGTTGCCCAGACCATTGTCTAGGGGGAAGTAATTTTTCGTGACAAATTGCTGCCTGTGGGCGGTGTTTTCCACGCAGCACTGGAGAGCTGACTAGGGTAAATCTCCTTCCAGCAGGTATTTGTATCCGTGTATTAGTAACCCCTTAAAATTGAATGGGAAGACCTGCAATGGCATGAGTTAATTGGGTTTTACATCGCATTAACACGGATCTTTTAGATCTGACTCTCAGGCAGAGTGAGCTGCCTTGCACACATCCTAATTTGTCCTAAATAAACGTTTCACTTGTGCTAATGAAAGAAGTGCAGGGACCGGCCGGCCCAGGGCTCTTCTCTGCTCCCCTGGGACAGGTCCCCTCCTGCTGGGCACAGAGGAGCAAAATCTGGTTTTGGACAGAGCAAAATCTGTTCCCATCGCCCAGCACCTATTGCTCTTCCCCATGCCATCCGTTCCTTCTGTTTTTACCATTCCTTTGCCATTCTTTTGACTTCTGCACTCCATTTTCCTCTGCAGAAAGCTATTGCTGCTCGCATCTACCTCCTCCTCTCTTTCACCTTTCTTCCCCAGTTCTTTTGAGCTCTCTCTTCCTTTTACTGGCACTTTTCCGTGCTCTAGCCTGTCATACGGTTTGTCCTTGAGAAAACTCTCATCTGCACAGAAACGCCTCAGAAGCCGCAGCAAGAAATCCAGCCCCCGCGGTGCCCCTGCCCTGCTCCAGGGAGCCCCAAACCCAAACCCCAACCCGCAGGCTGTCCCGGGGTGCGGTGGTGGAGCTGGCCTCGAGGTGAAGCCACCTCTGCGGCAGGTCGGTGGTTCGGTTAGCGGGGTGGACAGTTCAGAGGATTTGTAGGAATTACGTGGCTCTGAGCTGAAGCCGGCTGATTTGTGTGCTGCTTTCAAGGATTTGTCATGTCAAAAATACGATTCCGCTTATTTTTTTCCCAAGCAACCTGGTGTTTCCAGACAAAGGTCTCCTCAGGATAGCTCACCTTGGTCCTAAATTAATATTTTGACCAGCTGTAGACATAAATCTCCAGCCTAGCCGGGGCAGTGCTGCTCGGCAGGCTGCGGGAGGTGCGGGGTCAGAACAGGAGGCTGCTGAGGGGTGAGCGCCGTGCGCTTGCTGCATTTACACCTGGTGCAACTGCTGTCCCCGTGCCTCTCCTCCCCGATCTCCCTTTCCTTCCTCCCCCTGTTGGCGTGGTGATGTGGCAGCGATGGCTGTGAAGCCCTCCCTTGGCTAGGAGTTGATCACTTCTCTCTTCTCTTCCCTTCCAGCCGCCCAGTTGGACAATATCGGCTTCAGCATCATCAAGAAATGCATACACGCTGTTGAAACAAGAGGTAGAGCCGTTCACCAGATGGTCTTGTTTGGGGGAAGGCCTTGCAGCTGCTCGTAGCACAGCGACTGCGTACCTGCTCTTTTCATGACCAGCAATGATTCATTAACCCCCCGGATCCCACACCTGATAACGGCTCAGTAGCCCCCCAGGAACCTTTGCTGAGACAAGCAGCAGGGATGGGGCTGAGTCGGGGAGCTCTGCACTGGTGGAGGTAGAGGAGGGAGCCACAGACGTCCCCGGAGCATGCCCTTGTGCGCTGCCAGCACAAAGCCTGTCCCCTCCTGTGGGGCAGCAGGCGTGCATTTCAGCCCTTCCCCTCGCAAAGGCTGGGTGCACACCTCCTGTCGGCTCAGGAGGGTCCCGAAGTGGCAGCAGTTCTGTCAGCATTCCTTCAGTGGGGTCTGCATGCTTCTGTAACTGTCTGCAGCTTTCCGTAACATTCAGGCCAAGTTTTAGAAGCCGTGTGAGAGCAAATAAATTAAATAACAACCCCAATCCACAAAAGGAAACAAAGGGGGAGATGAGTGCAAACAAAGCGAACGCAGTCATTAAGGAAAATTTGGAGAGCTTCAGCCTGTGAGGTTCAGCAACCCCGTCTGAGGTGCTTTGGGGAAAGAGGGCGTCCATCACCGAGTCCTTTGGATGCTGTAGCAAGTAGTTTGGCTCAAGGTCTTTTTCCAGGCCACATGTGAAGAACATGTAAATGTCTTAAACCTCAACCTGAAGAACTTGGCACAGTAATTTTTTCCCAAACTGCCTCGCTGTTACATGTTGAGTGCAGATCCTTCATGGTACAACCGTGCTCCCTCACTGTTATGGGGTGGTGGCAAGGTGGCCTCGGGTCTTTGATTGCTGAGCTAACTGGGGCATTACTTTTAATCAGTACATGAAAGTCCTAACATCAAAACCCATTTTTTCCCTCTTCTGTAATTTTGTATGTAGTTGATGAGAGGGTTTAATTATTGTTGCTATTAGGGAAGCTGAGGAAATGAAAGAAATGTTAGTAGCTCTTTTGACATTCTCCTAATAAACTCTTTATTTCTTCCAGGGATCAATGAGCAAGGGCTCTACCGAATCGTTGGAGTAAACTCTAGAGTTCAAAAGCTGTTGAGCATATTAATGGGTAAGTGTCTCGTGTTTTGTTCAAGGCGAGTAGACTGCTGCTTTGAAGTTTTGCAAACCAAGAACGGAGGCTCTTGGCTGGGTACCTAATCGTGGTGACTGTGCTCTTAGGACCACATGCTGTTAGAGGCCGGGAGGTCCCAGGGCACCACTGGCAGGTTCCAAAGGTAGGACTCACGTAGGACATGGCTCTGAAAGGTCTGGTGCAGTCACTGGTGTCCCGCTCACATGCACTACAAATTTTGGCAGCCTTCCCTAATGCAACTAAAATCTTCAAAGAAATAACTGAAAGCTTTGGTTTTTAATCTCATACCTGCCACATTGTTCCCAGAATATTTTAAAATTGTTTTCTCTTCTGTTTTGCATGCTGCCTGTGGCTCTTCTGACTTTCCCCTTGGACCTTCCCGTGCCTGTTCTAACACGGTCTTGCACAGGCATTTCAAGCATGCGATCCCCTCGTGCCTGAGGCATTGGGTCCTGCGGGTCTGGGTGCTGGGGAGGAGGAAGGTGTCAGGTCACACCGTGCTAGAGCTTCGTGTTGGCATGGCCCCGGCGTGCAGCCGTTCTCAGAAACCTCTCCCTGCCCCTGAGCTGCTCCGATGGCACGAGAGAGGCCGCAGTGCCTTTGAGCTCTGACCCAGCATACCCCCAGGCCTCTGCTGAGCACAAAATGTGTAGGAGCAAACAGGTCTTGTGGCTGTCAGCAAGCTGTCGGTCATCCCTGGTGCAGGGTAGGTCTGGGGCTGCTTTGGCTGACGGATCCTGGCGTGTCCTTGTCGTGGTGCCTGGTTTCCATCACCCCGGGACCCTGCAGAGCTCTTCGTTGGGTTGTGCTTGTGGGTCTGCAGTGCAGAATTTGTAGCCTGACTCCCAGCCCAGCGTCTGCGTTAACTGTAGCCTACTGGGTACACTTCAAAAGAAATGCGAGTTGTTCCCTCTCCTGGCTCTGTTTTTTCGCCACCTTTCCAGGCCTTGCCCCTACTCCTTAGGCCCTTGTCTGCGACCCGTGCTGGTGCTGAAGTTATGGCTCTGTGTGACCGAGCAAGTGGTTTCGTCCTCAGCACTAGCAGGGGGCATTTGCATCCCCCAGCTGCAGCCCTGGGGGAATTTGTGCATTTAGGCACGGATGAGGCACATCTGAGCAAACACACACTCGAGCTGGAGCAGCAGCAGCTGCGCTTCTCCAGTCCTGCCTCCTGCTTCGTAGGCTTGGCAGAACCGTGTATGAAATAGGTGCAGAAACAAGGAAATAAACGCCTGATAATTTGTTAACAGCCTTAGGAATGCATTTGGTGCTTGCTGGGACAAATGAGTGACATTTGTGGTCTTCTTCCTCTTTTCGTTTGCTTAGTGTCGTTCCTTTGCAAAGTAACTTCTGTTTCCTCGCTTTCACAAAATGCCAGTGCTCCTCTCTCTGTGTTTTTCCCCTCGCAAAAAGTTTTAATCCGTTGTGTTTCACTTTCAGTATCTTTCCTTCTCGTCTTCCAACTCCTGTTTCTTTTCCCATCATTAAAGTGTTCGCTGAGCAAAGCCCCTGGTGGCTGTAGCAGTTGTCAGCACTAACCTATCCAAAATTGATAATCCAGCGAGACCATTAGGAAACAGAAGGGTAAGGCTCTAAATCACAGTCCCTGGCTCCTGCCTGACGCAAGGGGACATGTCTGCATCAGTTACGCTCTGGCATTTGGAAAGTTAGCTGCAGTCACAAGAGCTAGCGACTGCCTCTTTTTCTTCTATTAGTAGAAGTTTGGCATAGGCTCTGGAGCATGTGAATATGTCCTGCTAGCCACGCCAGTACAGCAGATAAGCCATGGCACACACATTTGGCACTATTGCGTTAGAGCATCACTTAAAGAGCATTGCTGCCCACTGATAAAAATAGGCTGGGGGCCGGGTGCCTGTAATGTGGGCAGGTCTGACCTGCCAGGCCCTCTGCTCGTGGCTCTCACGCCGGTGTGTAACAGCTCCGGGGCCAGCAGAGCACCTCGACCTGTTTTCTTCTCACACGGGCATAATTCACCCCATGGGTCGCAGCCTGGCGGCTGTGTGGGTTCTGCTTGGAGGCTGTGGGCTGTGACAGATGGCAAAACTTGCTTGGTTTAAGAGCTCTCCGGAGCTGGGAGGGATTCAGAATTTTGGACCCCATCCAGCATCCATTATCTGCTCAGCGACTGAAGCCACTCAGCTGTCGACCTCGTGTCTCATAAGGCGGTGATATATAGGCAGCGGTTTCTCTTTGTCCCGGCGTGTCTTCGTTAGCTGGCGGTGCTGGAGGGCTGACGAGAGGCGGGTGCGTGCCCGGTGGGTGTCCGAAGTGCGACCCCTTTTGGGGATGTCCCCTGCTATCGGTCGCTGGGACTCTGCAAACCCAGGTCGCCCTGTCTTTATCTGAATCACCAGCAATTAAATCACCTTCACACAGTGGCAGCCCTCAGGTGGTTTGTAAAGCAAGTGTCACACTGAGGCGCATCGGCTGTCACCCCCCTTTTGTTCTCTGCTGTCCCTCGAGGAGTTGAAGGCAGCGGCACCGCTCTGCGTAAACGCTCGTGTTTGCCTCAAGCCCATGTGAACTGCGAAGCCAAATTTTGCTTGCAACTTCAGGTTTCCCTTATATTTAGAAATGAATGTGGGCAGCGTTAGCGATTCACATACAGTTTAAATGGCAAAAGGATCAGGTTTCAGCGAGCAGCGGCTGATGTAAGCGACACTGCCCTTGGCACGAGGCGCTTTGCAGGAGGTCAGCACGGCGCTGGGCTGAGCCGCGGAGCGGAGGCGCTGCGGGGTGAGCTGCAGCACGGCTCGGGGGCTTGGGCAGAGCTCTTGGTCCTCGCTGAGACCCGGGGGAATTGGGGAGGTGTGCGTCCCACCGGGAGCTGCGAGACGCAGGGCAGCTGTGGCAGGGTGAGCTGCCTTTCTCCAACCTTCACCGTCACCATCTGCTGTCAAACTGAGGACAAAACCCAGCAAATAAATAAAGTTTGTCAGTTGGAGCTCCCGTGGACGGGTTTATGGCTGAAGTGTGGGCGCACAGGACAGCAGCTCCCAGCACGCAGAGCTGCTGCTGTGGCTCGGCGCTGGGATAAGCGGAGCGTGACGGCGTCTGGCCTGGTCTCCTCGCTGCTCCCAGTGCGCAGCAGCACGGGGTGGTGAGTGAGGCTTCCGACAGGTCGTAGCTGCTGGGATCGAGGGGGTCCTACAGCTGTTTTGGAAACCTCTCCAGCCACCCAAGTGTGGGTGAGAATTACGGCTGGGTGATGAGGTTGTGCTCCAGGCAGTTCCTCTTGCCATGGAGAAATTGGTGAGGAATTGAAACCAGCTGTCCTACGGCAGCAGCTTTCTCCATCCCCAGGAAATAGATGAAGAAATTCCTTAAAAACGGGCTCCAGGCAGGGACAGGGCTCAATGGGGTGCTTATGGAGCTGGGGCCATTGGGGATGGCTGCGGTGGCGGGTGGCCCTTCCAGCCAGACTCTGCTGGAATAAAGGCTTAGGGAAGTTAATTTTTCACTCTCTTTGCTTTATCCTTTTCTGTATCTGCTCAGAGACATCAGATTAGTAATTTGCAGCAATAAGCAACTCCAGGGTTAAAACTGAATTTGGCCTGTTGGGTGTTTTATGGGCACTATTGCACATTTATACCAGCTCATGTGGAAATCTTCTTTTGTAGAGCCAGCAGTTAGCTTCTGGTGCTGGCCGCATCCCTCTCTAGCTTGGGAGACAGATGCTGCATGTGTAACCCACGGAGCTGACTGTTGCCGACTCATAAACCTGAGGGTCAGGGAGGGCTGATTATCAGCCCTCAGCCTTTGCACGAGACCAACCACAGAATTTCACCTACTGTTTCGTGAATCATGTTTGGAAACTCCTGGATGAGTTCTTCAAAAGACATCCTGTGTTGAGTTGTTTGCTCAACTTCAGCGAAGACCTTGCTATTAGAAAGTTGTGGTTTTTTGGTTCTATTTTTTATTTTGTTTCCCGATACCGGGCTTATCTTTAATCTGTTAAAATTGCTTCCTTAAAAAGGTAGTGCAATGGGAAGTTGCCTTGGCATTGACAAGGAAGGATAGTATTCATTTGCGTGATTAATGTGAGACACGTGACCTTAGTGTGAATATACATTTCTTAAATGTTTACTTTTCAAGTGCTCCTCTTGATGCTTTTTTTAATTAAAATAAACCCTTTGCCCTGAGGGAAATCCTAACTCTTATTCAGTGCATTCTTTTAATTAGTTTTAAAATTACACTATGTTTACCTATTGCTTTAAAATTCAAAAGCACATTATACGTGTCTGTGAAGAGAAAAATACCCACTGAGCTGAAGCCACGGGACCAGATGGTGCTGGCGGCTGTATCCAGCATCAGCGCTTGGCCTCGGTAGCTGTATCTGTAGTGCCTCCCTGCCTCCTGCTCAGTCTCTGACGGTTGGTTTTGTGGTTTCATATCACGGAAAGGGCCTGCTCTTGTTTCTCCTGAGGTCTGGAGAGGTTTCCCAGTACTTTCGGTGGGAGTGGGCTCCTGCCGTGCGCCTTTCTGGGTCCTGCTCGCCTGGAGCTGCGTGTTTGCAGCCAAGACCTCCAGGGCTGCGAGGTGCAGGGCTGCGTTAGCAAAGAGAATTCATCAGGCAGCATCAAAGCAGGGCGGAAACGAGGCGTTTATGCCTATGGATGTGACGTGTTCGTGTTCTGCTCCTGCCTCCTTCAGGTTTTCAGTCTCCATACCCTGAGCCTTCACGTGTGTGTGCGAGGTCCCCGTGGCCGGGCCTGTTGGTGCAGACCTCGTGGTGATTTCTGAGCTGATTCTGTCTAGTCATCACCAAAGACTCCAGACCAGTGTCACCCCTCGCTGTGGTGCTTCCCACTGGTCGCCGAGCAGCCACCCGAGCGTGGCCGCCGGGGCTCCCGCAGCCCGCGGAGCCTGGGCCCGGCCGTGGGTGGAGGTGCCGGAGAAGGGAGCGGTCGCTGCTCTCCTACAGGCTCGCTCATTGTCAGAGCACTACGGTGTTTTCTCAGAAATCAGTAAAAATAGTGCCTTATTGATCTCGCTCTGGAACTTTGTGCAAACAAGTCTGGCTTCCTGATCTGGTTTGGTGGTTTGCAAAAAACAGGGAGAAGCAGAAAAGCGCAGATTCCTGCGAGCAGACTTTCCACAGCGGTTGGTTCAGGTCGGCGTTTGGAAAGAACACGCTGTTAGGCCAGAGCCTCGTATTTACACCGTGCGGAGCAGCTGCACGTTTTTTTGATTTCTTTAAAGGAATTTTAAAAAGGGGAGATAGGAGGGGAAAAATGCAGAAAGGAAGGAAAGGCCCCGGAGGAGATGGAGAAAAGAATGCTGCAGTATTCGACAATAAAAATAGAGACGCTCCGGAGGCTCCCTCCGAGCAGAGGGAGGCCCAGAACAGCCTCGTGCTGCCAAGAGCAGCCGTCACTCTGGAAGCACGGACACACTCCTCTGCAGAGGCTGGGGCAGCCCATCCTGCAGCCTGCCGGGGGCTGCTGGCACCGCTCCCAGCCCCACTGGGGCACCGGTGGCGTTATGGGTCCGCCGTGCCCTGCAGGGCTGGGTAAAGGTGCAAGGGTGTGCACGGCTGGTGAGATGGAGGTGAAAACTCCTGACTGACCCGGTTTTGTGGGCAGGGAGCTTGGCTTCCAGTCAGTCCTCCTTAAAGAAGGAGGAATAAAAAAAGACCACTTCTGGTCCTGGCTCGTGGGGATGCGTGGTTCACCAGCTCCGAGGCTGGGGGTGCAGTGCTCCCAGCAGCACTGTTGGGCAGTAGGTGCTGGTTCGTGGATGCTGGGGGGCTCGGCAGGCTGGGATGCAGCATCTGCTCGGCCTCGGCCGGGGGTGGCCTCAGGGAGCTGCTGGGACCAGCTGAGCATCGCCAACATCAGCATCCCGTAACGTAGCTCCTGCCTCTCTTGGGTATCCTTTGCTGCTGCTTGTCAAAGCCGAAGCTATCACACGGAACTGGTTATGGCCAGGAAACATTTTGTCATCCATTCATGTTTTCATCTAACGCAGCTGTGGAGGGCTGGGAATTCAAACTGCAGAGGCAGGCTGAGCGAGGCAGCAGCTCAGCTCAGCCCTCTCCTCGGCTCAGCGGTGGAAACAAGGACCCGAGAAGTGTCCCTGGCGGGTGGCGATGCTGCGGTGCGTGCCCGTCACCTGTAGCTCAGAGTCCTTCCTCACAAGCACTAGGAAGCTTTTTGCAGGCTGAGCCTGTGGCTGGGTCTCTGCAGTGCTGTGGTGCTTGGTGATGTTGGTGGAGGTGGCTCGAGGGTCGCTCCCTGTCGGTGCCGGGCTCTCCTCGCAGCAGGGAGATGCCGCGGGGCCTGCGGGCAGCTGCGGGGTGGAGGAGGGTGAATCAGGTGCTGGAAAAAAACAAAGATGGCAAGAAACAGCCTGCTGCTGCGGAGAGGATGCAGGAGCAGAATAGGATGACATCAAGAGGCCAGAGGTGAATAAACAAACCGCAGCGCAGCGCTGCCGCACCCAGCCCCGGCTGCTGCCGCCCTGCCCTGCGCAGACCGGCCGGGTGTCTCCGTGCTCTCCCTGCTCACACCACTGCAGCAATGTGGTCTGGCTGCTCCCCATGTACCTCGGGGGTGGCATGAGAGCACCCCAGGGGCTGCGGACAAGGCGATGGGAGCATCCCAAGCCCCAGAGCACCCGGGCAGCAGCCGTGCCAAGGCGCTGCGTGCGGCCGCCCCGCTGCCTCCTCCCCGTCCAAATGAAAGGCAGCTGTGAATCCACACTGCAGGCGTGTGGCTCAGCCTTCCACAGCCTCCCTGCCACCTCCAGGAGCTCTCCTCGCGCAGGAGAACAAACTTAGCCCCTGCCCCTGCCCATCGGTCCCTGCCCCTGCCACCTGCTCTGTCCCACTGGGGCCCAGGAGCCTCACCGCCACCCTAAAGGCCGTGCCACCACCATTGCTGTGTGCCCGTGTCCGTGCAGGCTGTAGCGATGCCTCGCAGCCCACTCGAGGCTGTGACTTTTCTGCTGAGTCCTGGGGTGATCTGTGGTTGTCTTGGTCCGTGTCGTGTTTGTGCACTGCTGTCACTGCTGTCATTGACCACCCCAGCCCTCCTGCACCCTGTTTGGTGTCACGCTTTCAGTCCAACTGCCAGGCTCGTTGCTCATGGTTAATGTTTTGTTTTTCTTTTCTTTTTTTTTCCTGTTTTTTTGTTTTGTCTCATGCAAGTGAGTGTGTCCCATCTCTGGTGACGAATTCTGCTTCCTTGCAGAAGTGTCTGCTGGGGAACAGCTTGTGGTCACTGGGGTTTGGAATAGCTAAGAAAATGCGACGTGATGATCTTCCCACACAGCTGGCTGTATTCTGCTGGTGCTGGAGTGGTGTGAGCTGGTATTATCATCACTTTGGTTCACTGTTTTTCTTTTTTTTCTTTTTCCTTAGATCCAAAAACAGCCACTGAAACAGAAACCGAGATCTGTGCAGAATGGGAGATAAAGACCATTACTAGTGCACTGAAAACTTACCTGAGGTAAGGCAGAAAAGGCTCGTCTGTCGTGAGGCTTCAGGACAAACGCAGCAATGATCTGGGACGTTACTGCCTACTATTGCTGATACTCAACAAAAACACTTTAATATAAACGAAAGAGAAACTGCTGCTAGAGAATTTATTCTGGCTTTTTCCGTGACCCTCTGGCATGTTTGGGTAGGATGTGGGGAATACGTTGAGCTCTCTGGAAAATGCATATATCATACAGACGTAATTAAAAAAGCTCATTCTTGCGTGCCCTGCCTTGATTTCAGCTTCTGCCGAAGCTTTTCGCAGTAGGCTTCTGCCTAATGAGTGTGTGGCAGAAAGTGAGCACCGTGCTCCTGTAAGGAGCAGTTGTTACAGAACTGGGTGCTTAGCTTCGTTTCTGTAATAATTTCTGTATGAAAGCCGATGCCATTATCACTGTGGGTTATCTTCCAAAAATGTTAGTTTGTTGGCAGCAGTCAGCGTTTCATTATCCACAACATGCTTCTACCTGTCGCGACTGCAGGTTTTTGCTTTCTGTTGTTCTGTGTTGGTTTGGTTTTCTTTTTTGAGATGCAGAGAACAAGAGAGAAGCTAAATCCAATTAGGGTGATGAGTATAATTAGCTTGGTGGATCTCAGCCTAGAAATTCACAAAACACTACATAATTTTGCTTGATTGGCAACCTTTGTTCCAGTGTTTGAACTGTTTGCAAAGCAATGAAGAACGTCGCCAGCACCAAGATGTCCCATTGAAAGGATGTACAAGTGGGAGGGGAGAATTGGAGATATAATGGGAACAGCGACTGTTAAAGTTTTATGACTAGGCTTGTTTCTCTTTTTAATTTATTTTTAAACTTACTTGGAAATCATGGGCTCGCTGTTGTACTAAAACTCTGTGTTACAGTGTTAGCGAAGAACAGCCAAAATTAAAAATGAAGTTGGTATGGTACTGAAAAGGGAGGAAGAATAAACTGAGGGTACTTTAGCAGGTCTTATGCCTTCTGATGAGAGGAATTTATTGGAGTTGCTATTGCTTAGTTCTGCTCTTTAAAAAGAGAGCTGACTTTATGTCAACAGCAAAGCTTTATTTCTGCAATTTTGCGGATTGTGTTGCTCAGCTGTGTTTTGTCTGTGTTACCTTTTTATCTTCCAGAATGCTTCCGGGGCCACTCATGATGTACCAGTTTCAAAGAAGCTTCATCAAAGCAGCAAGTGAGTTTGTTGATGTTTATGGCATCAGTCTGAAGGAGGAACAGAATTTGCAAGCAGCTGAGCATAACCTCTACCCTGCTGCTCCCCCACTGAACCCTTGTTCTTAAATCCTGGAGAGCAGACTAAGGATGGAGACGCAAGGGGCAGGGTGTTGTTTGGGACTTACTGCGTACAAAGGGAACACACGGTGCGGGGCTAGGGAAGAGCTGGCTGATGGCACTAACTGCTGCAGTTATTTCTTTCTCTGACCATCAGCTGCCAAAATGAGCGAGGCCGTTGTTCAAACAACACCTCCGGTGCTTTGGTTAGATCAGTTGCAGTTCAGATGTCTGTGCTGCTTTCCTTTGCTCTAGAAGGATGCTTTAATATGGGAGCAGGTAATTGTCGGGTAGCAGCTCTGTGCTGGTACAGCCTGGTGCACACAGGTGAGGACTGGTGGGGTAGGAGGCTCCCATGGATGGTGGTCACATCGGTGGTGGCCTCCTGAAGAGGGGTCAGGGCAGGGGACTCCTCGGTGGATCCTCTTTTTAGGCCGTTGGGGCATGTCTGCCAGCACCTGCAGATCCAACCAGCCTGCTGAGACCAGATGCTAAAATCTTTCCGGGCGTTGTGCTGAGCACATTCTTACGGTGCTTGGAAACACATTGGATGAGAATGTGCTGATGCTTCCCATTGTTGGAAACTGGAGGAACACTCTGGTTACAGCCAGCCCATTTCCTGATCACAACTGGCTTTTCATATGGCTGGCATCTGCTCTCAGCTCATTGTTTCAGCCCATTAGTTTCTTCCTTTCTCAAACAACTGATTGGAGTTGGTAAAGAGAAAAAACACTGTGGAGAATACCCGCAGCGTGCTTGGGTGTAGGTTGGAGTTAGGGAGTGGGAGCCTCGGGTCTCTGGGATGTCTGTCAGTGTTGCTCTCTGTGCCCGCATGCCTTTTTCTGTAATAACCCCCCTGATGCAGGGATAAATCATCTTCTATTTCCAATGCAGAACTGGAGAATCAGGAATCCAGGGTGTCAGAGATCCACAGCCTTGTTCATCGGCTCCCGGAGAAAAACAGGCAGATGCTGCACTTGCTCATGAACCACTTGGCAAAGTATGTATATGACTGATATGTTTTTCTCTCCATTTTCCACTTCCTCTGAAAGTTAATAGTGGTAAAAAAAGTTTCCTTGTGTGTGTGTGTGTGTGTGTGTGTTTGGTGTTGAGTCATATCTGGTTTACGAGTAAATGGAAACCTGTGTGTGCGTGAGATGGGGATCGGTACCCGGGGCAGCGTGGGAGGCAGGGGCGCTGGGCTGTCCCGCTGACCTACATCACCGCGGGGCTGTGCGGGCGCTGGTGGTGTGTTGGTGGGCTCGGCTGTCGGGGTGAAGCTCCTCACTGGGGTTCGGATCAAGCCTGGTGTTAAAGGACTGGAAGTTATTTCTTGGCAGCGATAGGATACTGCTCTGGGGCATGTTTTCTGCCTTTGTGCAGCTCAGTTAATCAATACTTCTAGGTCACCTTGAAACTTTTCAAGGGCAAAGGAGTTGAATAAATTTTTTGCTCTCAGTGATAGAGCTGACCTATAATTTCCCATCTTCTTCCTGCTCCTGCTGGTCACCATGGAAACCTTTGATTAGTGCTTAAAAAGTGAAAGCATCATAAGGTGTTTGTGCCAGCCTCAAGGCTGCGGGGTCGCACCTGCCCTCGTCGTTCGCTCCGGTGCGGTGTGAGCAGGAGGGATTAGGCAGGGCTTGGAAACCTTGGTGAATGAGTTAATTGGCATAACCAGTTAGAATGAATCTGGGAGAACCTGAAGTTATCTGTTGAAGAGAAAAAAATAATAAACAATACTTGAAATATGCTTAAAAACGACTCCAGATGCTTTCTTATGACATGTGTTTGTATCTGTTCCATGGACTCCCCGGCTAGGCTGTTAAAAACCAAAGAGCTGGTTTAGATCTCAGTTTCAAAACCTTCTGCATTTACAGGCTGAAGCCAAGGAATAGGGAGTTCCAGGTACTCCCGTCAGCCAAATATGTGCAAGGAATCTCGTAACTGCTTAAGTGCTTTTCATTTAAAGGAAAACCTGGTGGTATTCAAGTGTGAGATGTGGAGGGGGAGGCAGGTAATACAATGGGTTTCAAGCTGTTTTAGTAGGGAAGGAACTAAAACAAAACACAAACAAACAATGAGCGTAGTGGTGCTTGCCATATTGGGAAGAGAAACAGCTCATAGTGGTTGTTTAATGGGAAAAAAATTATCTCGGAGAAAGGCAGGAAGCCGCTGGAACAAGAGCCTGTTCTGTCGCAGTGGGGCTGGAGGGCTGAAAGCTCTTGCTGAGCTCCTTGGGGTGCTCCTGGACGTGTCTGCGGTGGAGATGGGGGGGCTTTGTGTAGGGTCTCAGCTGGGGTGTCCCTACAGGCAGACCCTGCAGCTTGGTGCTGCTCCTGGAGGGACAGGTCGAACAAACGGCCAGCACCCGCAGCTCTCCTGCATCGGTCCTGCACCCGCTGCTCCCGCACCCCACAGCTTCTGCCTGCATGCCCCGGGGCTGCTGCGACCCCAAAGCACCTTGCTGGCTGTGGGAGCAGCGTGGCTCGGGACTCGTTGCTGTTGTACCGGCTGCGGTGCCGGGTTAATGACCTTGCATTCGATCTTAACCGGAGATAAAGCTTCACATCTGCAGAAGCCGTTTGGAGAGCGAGAGCGTGGCAGCAGGACGGGGCCTGGCGTGGGCGACCTGCCTGGGGAGGGGTGCTCCGGAGGGGGGCACAGGCTTCGGGGGGCTGCCCCGTCCCTGCACACAGGGCGCCCAGAGCCGGCGTGGTGAAACCAAAGGGCCCCTTCCTGCCCCCACCGAGCCGGGCTGCAGTTCTCAGAGGGGGTTGCCTCAGCTGTTTCTGTTTTTTTTTTTTTTTTTTTTTTTTTTTAGCTGTGTATGAATAATCAAGATTTGCATTTTTATCTGATGAGCTAAAAAAGTATTTCTCACAGTATTACTGTGGAGATCTCTGACACTAAAAACAGAACACAATCTGTATTGGTCAAACAGAGAAAGAAAGAGAGCCTATCTGTCCTATGTTGTGTTACATCTCTTTTTTTTGGTTTGTACATTCGCTGTTGCTGAGTGAAAAGGGAAACCAGGCCGCTTGTTTGGCGTGGGGCTGCCATGAGTAATGGTAATAAAACCATGCTAGCACAGCCGATACATTCAAAATTGGCAATTATTAATACAAATTAAATATCAGCCGGGATAAGCACTCTGAGGTGGCTGAGTAGTGCACTTTTTCCCTTGCAGCAGAGCACTTGTGCAGCAGTGCTGACAGAAATGCCGCGGGTTTCCCATGGTGGCCGGGCCCTCACCGAGTGGGTGCTCGAGTGGGTGCTGGAATCTGGCAAGAGGTGCTCGAGCACCCCCGCGTCCCCCCCTGTGCCGACGGGGAGACACCGTGCTGGTGTTCACAGGGAGAGGAGAGCTGGAGGTGGGGGACAGGTCCCGGGGACAGGCATGGGAGGGTGTGCAAAGAGAAAATGAGGCTGGTCGCATTGAGGCTGACCTCTTGCTGCAGCTTTGAGCCTGTTTGCACTGCCTCTTGAGGTGTCCAGGCGGTTATCTCCTGTAAAACCGGAGCGTGAGCAATCTGTCAGTGCTCCTCCACCAGTAACTTCATGCTGTGAATTTCCTCCTCTCCTCTCCAGCCACCGGTTCCAGGGAAACTTGCTATTATTATGGTAATCTTTGACCCAGGAGTAGGTGAAACCTTTAATTTTCCTTCCCGGGCCACGTTCACCCTGTCGGGATTTCTGTGATAAACCCAGCTGTGATTTAGTGTTCCCGAAGGATAGGAGACCTCCTTGTTCTGATGTTTTCTCAAAAGGATCTGTGCCGAAAAGCCTGTCCATGTGCAGTAGGAGCAGTCCCAATGAGCACCTGCAGCCACTCAGCCTTTCCAGGGGATTTCTAAGGATGCATCTGATGAACCTGATATAGTTCTGGATGGCCTCAAAAATAGTGTGGTTTCTCTTGTCTCAGGCCAGAATCAAACATCTTTTAAAGAATTAAAAGGCAAAGCCAGTACCTGTCTTTTCCTTATTCTTGCTGTTTTGGTTGCAAGCCACTACTGCTTAGTCACTGCCACTTCTTGGAGCTTTTGGTGTTTGCAGGAGATGGCTGGGAAGAGTACTCTTGATGCCCCTAGTTTACAAACAAGAAAAAAGACGTTTTAAAAAGCTGCATGAACACTTTATGCCAAGAAACACGTGAGTTCACTGAGCGAGCACACATGTTAGGGGAAGTGCGTGGTGCAGCAAAGCTTCCCCTCTGTGTTTCAATGCCGTGTTTGAGCTGCTTGCACACACCTCCACCACCCATGCGAGGCAGCGAGCAGGAGCCCCCCTGGTGCTGGTGCTGGTGTGGGAGCCATGCTGCGGCAGCCTCGGGGGGAGCAGGTCCAGGCCCGGCTTCCCCGGCTGCTCTCTTTGTTTTGCAGCCTGACGTGCGGTGCTAGGTTTGATCTGTGCTGATACTGAGGTGGAAGAGCCACGTACTGCTATTGAGCAGAGGAAAATCCCCATTAATATTCAAATTAAAACGCTAGAAATCTGTGTTTATTTCCCTCCCGGGTGCAGCAGCAGCCAGAGCAGGACCAGAGCCTCTCGGCATGCAGGAGCCCGAGTTCAGCGCGTACCCTCCACAGCCCCGGCCCTTGGGCTCCATGTGGCGTGGGACTGCTCTCTCCATGCCTCCAAGGGGGAGTTTTGTCACCTTTTCTGGGTGAGGAGGGAGGGAGGCGAGGCGCCGGGCGGCCGTGGAGCTGCAGCAGGCCGTCCCCAGCCGTCACCTAGCAACTCCACGCGGCTCGGAGCTGTTGTGCTGCAGCTATCTCCTCTTGGTCCGGCACCTATCTCCAGGAACGTCTGTGCTTCGCTTCAGAATGCGCATTTATCGATGGCTTGTGCCAGCTCTGATGAAACCGATTTTTCCCCTTGCCAAATAATTAAAGCAAGTTCAAGCGCCGCACAGCCTGGGGGCGGCCGCGCCGAGGGCCGAGGCGGGTGGCGGGAAGGTGCCCGTCCTGTCAGCGACCCGTGGCGGCGGCCCCGCCATCTTGTCCTCCTCTCACGTGCCTTCTCCGGGAGGAGTGGATGCTCTGTGGGTGCAGAGCACGAGGGTTTTACACCGATTATTTTTCAAGAATTTGGGTATATATATATATTTTTGCATGGACATAACTCAACACCTGAGGCGTGTGCTCTGACTGCAATGATCAGAGCCATGTCCGTCAGTGCTGGTGCCCCCTCAGTGCTGGGCTCGCTGCGTGCATCAGCTGCTCCGCCTGGTACCCCGGCCCTGGGGCTGAGCTGCCTCTGCCCCGGGCACCCGTGCCTCTCCTGGCAAAAGGTCAAAGCAATTAAGGAGGCTGCAGAAGAAATGTGTGTACGTGTATTTAGTGAAAATTAATTATCTTTCATCATTCACAGCTGTGGCCTGGCCAGCAGTGACTAGTTCCCCTTGTTTCTGCTGTGGTGTTGTTTTCTACTTTACGTGTTTTAACCAACATGATAGTGATTGCTATCTCTAGCACAAATCATTTCCCACTTATCAGCGTGGATGCTTTCCACCGGCCTTGCGGGGCGGCTGCTGTCGGTCGCAGCCCCAGCGACCCAGCGAGTGATGCCCCCACCAGCAGGACACACAGGGCTGGACAGTGGAGAGGAGCGTGGGACAGGGGGCTCACGACATCGCTGGCAAAGGAGAGGGAGAAAAAAATCCTCCAGGGTCTCCCCTGGAGGCAGAGCCTGGTGTCTGGTTTGGTTCGCCAGAGCAGCCCGATCCTTGGCTGCTGCCCATGCGAATCCCCTGGGGCCGGCTCGCTGGCAGCAGGCACGGTGCTCCCCACGGCGCTTTGGGTGCCCGGCGGCCTCGGGAACCTCTGGGTCGCCCGGCGCTGTACCGGGGCAGCTGCTTCCTGCAGAAATGTGCTTTTCCTCCGGTTGTTTTCCCCGTTTTCCCCCCGAAGGTGCAGCAGGCGATGAGGCTGACGCCTCTTGGCACAGCAGGTCTGATTTCATCCCCGTGGCAGCTGTTTATGCTGCTGTCTGGTAACT